ACTTGGTCTAGTACCTCTCCAGATAGGATGAGGCTGCATACAGGATCAACCCACTCATTTAGCAACATTTTATACTCCGAAGGTACTAAAGACACACCGGACATGACCAAACGGGCATTCAAACTATCCAGAAAAGCTTAGAACTTAGTTCGATCTTCACTTAGCAGGACGCTGTCGTCTGTATACTCCATATCAAACAGTGTACCACTCGGAAGCAACTCGATGCCGCTATCCTCACACGAGGATAGAGCTGTTTCATTTATAAGCAAATGTATAACAAATTGCAATAGAGAGAGGGGGCTACTCTGACGAAAACCACTTTCTGAGGTGAATTCGGGTGAAAGCGTGCCGAAACCTCGGACTCGGCTTTGGCCAGTATTATCTGTGTTTAGAAGTTAGAAACGGACTTTATTCAGTCAAAATTGATTTCATCCATTCGGGGTTTCTCGTTCCATCGATCGGTTTTCATCTGCACATACAATCATTTTGCTTAATGTCACGTGATTCATATATATTGTTAAGGTTGTAAAAACTCACAATTTCCACTTTGAGGTATTGTGGTGAATTCCAGTTACAGTTAGGTAATGTTTACAGTCTCTGTTTGTTTGACCACGAGATCCAAATTTTATTACGAATAAAATGAAGCCTACTCTAGTTTCTTCATTGATTGATTAGAACTGACCATGCTTCGGTTTTCACCTTCACGCACATTCCTCAGCTGTTCCAGTCAACCATACACTCGGAAGCACTAGATTCGAGTTTCGCTCTTATTAGAGCTCATCAGTAGTGCATATTCACCGTCCCGCTGTTCGGGATTTTACTTATTTTTGTTCTGATTGGTTGTCTCAGAACAAACTAGTTTCAAGGAGTATGCTGACACTCGTGACGGATCGAACCGTCGGTCACGCTTTCAGTAGACTTGTTTCCTATGCATATATAAGTTGCAGTAACAAACACGGGGCTTCAGAACCTTCAAATGTTAATCAAGCTTGATAGATGGTCTTTTGGAATCAACCTTCACGTACCAAATCCTATACAATTAGAACTAAACGGTTAGGCATCGCATATTGGCACTGATTGAGACGATTGATATTCTTCTATTTAAGCCGCTAAGACTGGATTGTGTCATCATGCCTCAAGAAAAAACGATCATGTGCCACTTGAGTGAGCAATGATTTTTGACACGTAATAATAACTGTTGTAGAAATCTGGCTGTTGTTTCGCATAATCTTGTTCTGATTCCATACCCTATCTCAATTCGATGCACTCTGACCCCAAGTTATTGACCTAACGTCAACCAATGCATCTAAAATTCCTCGTGTAGATCAAACGAATTTGATTATACTGCCTTGTGAATGAGACCACCGGAACTGGAAAAATACAAGCTGGTCTACACGGTTTGGTCTGAGCAGATACTTTAACTGTTCGTGTTCGATGTGGGATGTAATCGGCAAAATTTGAACATTCCTCAGTGAGCAGTCAGTCTTGATGCTAGCCCCCTTGAAACGCCTTGATAGTTGTCACTATTGTGTTCCACAGAATCTCCTCCTTCACTTCGCACACTATTCTCCTCGTTGATCAGTTGATCAGTTTTCGCTCTTATCAAGATCCCGTCCCATCCCGTCTCGTCCAACACCCACCCACCCTCTCCCGAGTTCACTTCAACCAATCACCTTGCACATGTCCGTATTCAACTAGCATATCCTTAGCGTGAAACCGATCGAAATATCATTTCCGCTTATCTCGCACGTAACCGTAATATTGGCCCTCACATTTCATGACTTTATCAACTTTCTGACAAAACGATGTGTCAATACTTCACGCCTTGACATGGCTCATGCCTACTGGCATTTTGTGTTCCCTGGACCTGGAAACACGTTTGTAGTAACCCGTTATTCTTACCTACCTGCCCTGGTGAATGGACACACACACACACGAGCGCGCAACCTATCCCTAACCTCGAACACATGTAATCAATGACTGGGAGAATAAGTGCGTCATCTTTTTGTTGGTTGCGCCTACTAAAATAGGAAGCTACATCACACACACACCACTTCTCCTCAATCCCCATGCTTTTTTTCTGGGCATAGGCTCAACAGATCTTATTTTCCCTGATAAAAGGTGCTCTTCTTTGTAATGAGGAGGATCGATCGCTCCCCATTCTTCATCACGCTTCAGACCACATAAGAAACGAGAAACAAAAGTGCGTCAATGTTCCAAGTGTATTTGAGCACATCACAGTTGGACCAGATGTGACACGATTGGGATTCCCTGGGTAAACGAGAGAATTGAGCCTGAGCACTATGCATCATTCGATCTGATTACTGGACATCTCCCGATCAACTGCATACAAATTCTGTGCATGACATTTGGTAGTCCGTAGTTCGTTTTCTACCCCTGCCCCGTGTCCCGGGAAAATTAGATTACATTGGGATAGAAGAAACAAACACTAACAGAGAAGGTTCGGTCCAGTCATGTTGATACAACAACTAGTCAGTCCCACGTTCTTCTTCGTGAAGCAGAATAGAATACTGTACCTATTATTCGAACGATAAGAAGTCAGATAATGAATTGTAACCGTCTATGTGAGATGCAAACTGTGTACATCAAAAAAAAGGAAAGGTAAACTGTATGAATTAGACCAATACCTGTCATACGAGGACAGATTGCGATCATTGGGACTATATTCCGCTCAGTACCGCCGAACTCGAGGCGACTAGATTTTGTTGCGATCATTGGGACTATATTCCGCTCAGTATCGCCGAACTCGAGGAGACTTGATTTTTGGTATCAAATACTGATAACCCAAACCATCCGTGTCGATCGCTTCTCATGTTATCGAACAATGTACACCTAAGGGGACACCACTTCAAACTACTGATTCCAAAGTCTCGCCTGGATTGCCGGCGCCAGTCTTTTGCTGTCATAGTATGCAAATCTTGGAATGCCCTTCTATCTCATGTCGTTTGTGCACCCACTATTGAATCTTTCAAGCAGAGACTCGACAAAATCTTGACACCCTCACATTCCGTACACTAAAGGCAAACGGGATTCACTGTAGCCTACATTCTCTATCTCCTACCCGGATCTCTATGCGACTCCTTTTTTCGATGTGTAACGATTCATCTATGTAAACATCCTATGGGACAAGAGAAGCACCAGCTTGTGAGCTATTCCCATAATAAAACTTTGACTTAACTTTGATTCACATGTGAGTAAGATAAACCAAATACGATGATACAGGTTCAAGGAATTCGGTTTCAGATTGGTTACCTAATACCCCGAGCAATGATCACAATCGTTTCACGAATAGGTTATTTTGTTAAATTGGCTATTCCGATTTCACGTGCGATGAAACTGTGTATTTTACGGGTTGTTGTTGTTGTTGTTGTTGGAGATGGTGGTTCACAAAGAGCTCCGGACGATAGTCTCCTCGTCATTGGTTGGACTCCTCGGTCCCGTGTACATTATCTGTGTCCGTCCAAGAATAGACTTTGATGACTAGGCATTCTTATGTTAGTGTAAAGAAAATGAAACTATACATCCAAGATGCTAACTGTTGTTAATGTCACTCCCGGATCAGAGTTTTAGCACCCGATCCGGCAAATCCCAACAGGGAACATACATCTGCTCTGTGTTGTTTGTGATGGTCTATCAGATGGTCTATCATCAGATAGAAAACCGGCAATCACAAGAATGTCGGCATGGACTGTTGATGAAAATATATTCCAATTGTTGTTTGGCCGATTGTATTTTTTTTCATGTTGGGATTGTGAAACGTTCTGTAGCCTCGGTGGGATTTAAACTTACGCACGGACGCTGTCTATGTTTTTGTACAGTGCGCGCTCTACCAGCTGAGCCACGACGACGAGGCCACGCCGATAGCACTCACTGATCTTTTTTTACATTCCAATTAACCTATCCAACTGACAGAGGCATGTGGTATCCATCAGTTGGCATGTAAGCTGACTGCCGCGACAGGTTTTCCTTCGAATTGACCGCACTCCACTCCAGTTAATTCGAAGGACAGCGTCCATGCGGGTCCATGTGGGTTCGAATCCCAACGAGGCTACAGAACGTTTCACAATCTCGACATAAAAAGAAAATATATTCGTATCGACACCGGAACTCAATTGAATGTTCCGAATATAGTCAAAAAACAAAACAAAATAAGAAGCGTCTTATTCAAGTTGTCCGCCAACTGAAAATCCCAAAAGCAAAATACATCAACACAAATTGATCGATTCCTCACATTTTGATAAATATGCCCCCGACCCCTAGATTTTATTCTCTCCTAAAATTGTAATGACAGCATTATGAGTTGTTGAAAACAATCACTAGCCTGAAATTGATTTCTTTCAACGAAACAAGCAGTTTACCTGCTGTCAGCTTTGAAGTAGGACATAAATAGTGCGATTCAATCGGCGAAAATAAGCTTAAAATGTGCGCAACTGTCTAGAATCGATCAGTCATTCCAATGGGTGCAAATATTGACCAGACAGTGATGTTAGGAGAGTGTGTGTGTGTGTGTGTGTGTGTGTGTGTGTGTGTGAATAAAATGCACGCTGTTTCTCTTTTCAAACAGGATTTCGAGATCTTTCAAACGTATGAAATGCAAAAACATCACTGGTAGAAATAGTCAAGTGTTGTGTAA